CCTTTCTCCTTACCCAAAGGCCACAATGAAGTCGAAGAAACCTGTAGATGACAGCTTTCACAGTCTTTCTCTTGCCTTTTTGTGTACTGAAGTATGTTAGAGATCTGGCTGGCAGCTTCAGGACACTTGGAAGCAAGGGGGCCACTCTATTAAGGGTCACGGAAGTATGCCCACATGTCAGGTTTCTCTCAGATGTGATAAGTCTGGAAGTGGAGGAAACAACTGGTGTCTGAATATGACCAAAACGTCCAGTGGACAATGAAGAAATAAAAGAGGCATTCTTGACACAGTTTCGGTAGGTTGAAGATGCCAAAATATTTAGGGGCCGTAGGATTCCTGAAGCCGTTCTCACCGCACCAACAAAGGCACAGGCAGCCATCTTGCCAACTTCCCAGAGAGGTTTCTTATTACTGACCTTCTGACACCTGTTTCTGTCCATTCATCAGACTCATTCTCCATCCAGCCTTGTTCCCTTGCTGGTGAGGAGTTGTGACTCCTTGGGGGAGAAGAGGCATTCTGGTTTGGCGTGTTTTCATCCTTTTTGTGCTGGTTTCTTCCCATCTTTGTGGGTTTATTTACCTGTGGTCTTTGTAGTTGTTGACTTTCAGATGGAGTCTCTGAGTGGACGTCCTGTTTGTTGATGATGAAGTTATTCCTGTTTCTTAGTTTTCCTTCTAACAGTCAGGCCCCTCTGCTGTAGGACTGCTGGAGGTCCACTCCAGACCGTGCTTGCCTGGGGATCACTTGCAGTGGGTGCAGAACAGTGAGGGTTGTTGCCCAAGCTGGAGTACAGTGGCACAGTCTGGCTCACTGCAACCTCCACGACCTGGTTCAAGCGATTCTCCTGCCTCCCAGTAGCTAGGATTTCACCATGTTAGCCAGGATAGTCTTGATCTCCTGACTTCGTGATCTGCCCACGTCAGCCTCCCAAAGTGCTAGGATTACAGGCATGAGCCACTGTACATGGCCTCATTTTAACCATTTTTAAGGATATAGTCCAGTGGCATTAAGTACATTTTCACACTGTTGTACAACCTATTACCATTACCATCCCAGAACTTTTCTTACGTTGCAAAATGAAACTTTGTACCCATTAAATAACAGCTTCCAATACTTCTCTCTCCCCCAGGCCGTGGTGAGCAATACTCTCCTGAATTAACTACTCTAGGCAGATCAGTAAGTGGCACAATATAATATTTCTCTTTTTGTGATTGTTTTGTTTCACTTAGAATAATGTGTTCAATGCTCATCCATTTTGCAGTGGGTATCAGAATTTCATTCCTTTTTAAGGCTGAATAATATTCCACAGTATGGCTATACCATATTTTGTTTATCCATTCACCATCAGTCAATGGGCATTTAGGTTTTTTCCATCTTTTGGCTGTTATGAATGCTGTGAACATGGATATACATGTTTCGTTCTGTCTCTGCTTTTTAAAAATAAAAATACAGATGGTCTCCAACTTTATGACAGTATAAAAGTGATACACATTCAGTAGAAACTATACTTCAAATTTTGATTTTTTCCCAGGCTAGCGATATGTGGTATGATACTGTTTCATATCATAGGTCCTTGAACCTAACCAGGACACCAGGTTCAGCTCACTTGACACTGAGCAGTGGCAAGTGAGCTGGAGCTCCCAATCATCATGCCATCAGGAGGGTAAACAACCAACCAATACTCCACCATGATGATACCAAAAGTGCTAAAGCTTCTATGATGTATTAAATGCATTTGCAACTTACAATGTTTTCAACTTACAATGGGTTTATCAGGATGGAACCCCATGGTAGGTCAGGGAGCATCTGTAGTTACGATGTTTTTGAAGGGAGACTTTGAAGTTAAGTTTGTTAAAAATAAAATTTTTTGAAAATACATACCTTTTACATCACCTGAGGACTAACAACTCAGTTTAATTGAAAGCCACGCAACAAAGAACCCAAAAGAGCAATGGTACTATTTGCTTAAAAAAACACACACACACACACACATACACACACAAAAGACATAAAAGTATCCACTGTAAATTTATTATGCATTAGGAAGCTTAACCTAAAAACCAATAGCATCATAAAAAGATGTTATCTCTGTTCATAATAGGTTTCAAAATATATTTTCTTTTAAATGTATTCAGTCAGTACAATCCTTTATAAAAGTTGTATATATTTTTTTCTGTCAATACCTTCATTACATTTATAAATACAAGATTTACACAGCACCCCATCAAAAAAAATTAAAACCCTTTACAAATATCTACATATATTTCATACCTATAAAACTTTCAAAGGAGTGCTGTTAATGGTGGGCTCTAGTTAATGGTCCATTTACTGGTGCAGCAGAATACATATAAATCTGTAAAGTTTTCTTTATCCATAAAACATCTCAAAAATTAGCAAGACACTTATCGTGAAACTCAGCTTCATAAAACCACATTTTAGAAAGGAACTTAATGTGCGTATTCCCATGCTATTCAAAAGTCAGACAAATGGATTGAAATAAAGATGAATTGAAAACAAATACACACTACAGAGCAGTTAAGGCAGGAGTGTGATGGATGAGAAAAACTTTGGGAAGCAGGACTGGAAGACATGGGAAGAAGTAATAATGACTTATAATAATGCCCGAGTCTGAACCTGGATATAAACTTCACTTGTATCCAGTTACTAACTCTCATCTTCATTTAGGAATTTCCAAATTGTTAAAAACTTTCTTAGAAGCAGCCTACAATTCCTATGTTGCCACCAGAATGCTTGAGTTTTTTTTTTTTTTTTCTCTGTAAAATCACCTTGGACCTAACCAGGACACCAGGTTCAGGAATCTTGAGTTGTGAGTTTTACATGATTTAAGTGTAACAAAAATTTCTTTCATCTAGTAAAGGTATTATTATTCAATATTATTCATGTCCAGAAGTATATATATATACTGAGTTTCATTCTAGACAAGAATAGGAAGTAGAGAGAATTAAAGGAGACTAGGTTTTTATTTAAACTTTGAACAAAGACAATAGATCCCTGATACTGAGTGACTCTTAAGAGTGGCCACTCGTCAATACATATGGGTTTGATTCAGAGAAACAGATAGGTAGAAATTAAGAAGGAATTCTTTACCTGAAATCTTGCCAGAGATGGCAGACTCATTATAGTTCTGCACCTTCGGCTGAAAAGGGCATAGAAAGATTGCTGTCACTCTTACCCCACAGTCATTACAGGAAAGCCAGCCTTTCTACCAGAGAGATGACTTTTTCTATTTGAGGTTGCACATTATTTGCAGGGAAGTATTTCAAATCTTACCTTATTCTAATGTACAGACGGGGCGGGGGGGGGGCGCGGAAAAAGAATGTAAGAGGGGAAAAACAAAACAAAACAAACTGGAGGAGGAAGAGCAGAACATGGACATGGTATTTATCAAACTTGGCCCTGAAGGATGCCACTGGCATCTCCCATCCCGCACCATGAAGTCACCAGGTGGTGTGGCTCCCTCCATGGTTCTCAGAGATGGCATATGCAGAATCACACTTTCTGCCGAGTTTACAGCTCGGTGCACTGATTCCCAGGCTCCTCAAATGAAGAGAGTTCCCAGATGCTGCTGTCTTGCAGCAGTGGCTCAATGTCTTCATCACTGACCCGTTCTGGGGTGTTGGTCAGGCTGCCGCTGTTACTGTGTTTTTGAACTCCACTGGCTTTACTGTATTCAGGAATGAATAAGGCAACCAGAAAAGACATAAGAACGATACATGCCCCAAATAAAAACGGCGGGCCTGGGATAACGGCTCCCTGATGGATGTGGAAAACAGGTGGAGACAAAGAATAGCGTTAGTCCTTTTAACTCAAATTATTCCTAGATTACCCAAAAAACACACCACCAAAAAGTGAATCATATTCTCATAAGCAAATGTATCATTAAATGTCAAGGCAAATTCTAATAGAGCTTGGTGTTTGGAATATTAGAGGGCAACTAATTACAGCTTTTTGTACCACTTCTAAATAGCTTAAGCAAACCTGTAAGCTTGTAAGCAATATCTGTTTACCTATAATCCCATCCTATGACTTCAGATTATGCACCTTTGTATATAAACACTAATTCCAGCTTTGTATAGAGATCTATATTAAATACAGCTTAGAAGGAACAAGGAAGAAATTTCAAATAAATAGTACAGAAAGTACTCTAGCTCAATTTTTAGCTGGATTTTTAGGTCATTTCAAATTTTAATTAGCCTGGGCTTAGTCACAGAATAGCACAGTGGTTGTTTAGGTGAAAACAGGATCTGAACAAAATTAAGACATATCTTGTACATAAGATATTAAATCACTACAATGATCCCCCCGATTCCGAGAGGCAATGAACATAATACTTACTGCTGTCAAATAAAATATAGTAATATACAGGTAAGAATCCCCTCCAAATTTAAGGTCAAGATTTTGCTATAATCATACACAACTGTTGTTACAAAAATAGACTTATGACCAAATTACCTGCCGTGGAACATTGTTAGAATTCAATTTCGGGCCCAACTCAGTCAGTTCCACATGGAACATGTAGAATATGAAGCCATACAGTGCTGGCCCCAGGCCATTGCATAGTCCTCTTATTCCAGTTATGATCCCCTGGGCAACTCCTAAATTGGAACAAAGAGAAGAAAGCCAGTTTTCTCAGAAAGGCATCTCAAGATTTGGAGCTGAACAGCACTTTCTCACATTAATTCAGCAAGACTGAGGAGAAAGCATGCTAATGAAAGTAGATTAGGAAGCCTTCATCTATTATTTTCATTCATTGTACAAATGTTTTCTTGGTTTTACCATGTCCATTTAATGTTGTCCTCTTTGTGCTGAGATCTATAAGGACAGGAAATGACAGTGATGTTTCCCAAATTTTGGGGGCAGTTAAATTCTCCATTTCAGCTAGATCTGTCTAAAAAGTGGGAAAAAAATAAAATCCAAAACTTTAGTATTGTCCCATTTGAGGCAATTTCCACTTTTCTGTCAACTGAGATTTCCCTGCTCCAGTCATTTACTGGTGCTTTGGCAACAAATACCTGCCCTTCACCTCTGGCAACCCTGCTCTCAGGAATACAGAGCAGTTCCGATTAGGCAGACTCCATCTTCACAGGTGTATTCCAGCCCTTTCTCCCTATGGACCTACATTGAAAACCCAGAAGTGCCAAATTCCTAAATGTCTGCTTTCTAACATAGCAAGTAAAAAATTAGCTTGAACCATATGAAATGAAGTTTCTGTAAATCAAAAATGGTAGCATATACTTCAGCCTAATACAATGTGTTCCCAAACTTTTATATGCTGACATTTAGAAACATGTATATTGACATGAAGTATAAAAACAGTCAAAATCTATTCCCCAAATGACAGGACAGTGTCTGTCAGATCCCAAGGTAGTTACAGTCCTCCACGGATGGCTCACATC